TGCAAATGTGAAAACTGATTACAATTTGCAAGTTGTTTTCAAACCCATAGCTAATAATTAAGTCAGGAGCAGTGAGAGGGGAGGGGACTCCTCATAGGTGAGGCCAGTGGGGCCGTGGAAGCTTGCAGCATGGTCTAATGCCACGACTGATATCCCAATCAATACAACTTCCTCCAAGAGGGCATTTCATCAAACCCCAAACCAAAGCCCCCCACCCCAACTGCCTGCCTGTAGTCAAGTTTCCTGTGTTATTTGAAAATGTCTCTAGGATTGACATCTATCTTTTTCTCTCCTAAAATCTGTGTGTGTGCTGTTCTGGGGCCTCCAGAGATTACTCGTGGAAACCATTACCTGCCATCTCCCATCTCATTCTGTCTCTACTGTCCCCCATTTCTGCCTCATAAAGGAACGGGGCTAACCAGTGCCATCAATGCAGGCTTCGAAGCTCTGGACAGCTGGGCAGAGTCGGGAAACAAGGTGGTGGGCGTCTCCCAGCCTGACTGGTCCTTGTGTGGTAAGCAACTTTGCTGCGAGCAGTTTGGTCAAACTGTAAGGCAATTGTTCCATAAAAGATAATTTACTACAGTCTTGCAGAGCATTAATTCTTGATTCTTTAGCTAATTTAGATACAGCAGCTTGTCCTCTAATGCTTTCTTAACCAAATTATACAATATTAGAAGCTGGAAGGAAAGAAGAATCAAGGACCTCCTATTCCCCCAACCCCAAAATACATGGTTATGTGATTCCTCACAAGCATAAGTTTCTTAAAAATGGTGACGTTATTTGATAGCAGAGTACATGATGTAGCTAGAATTTTGGTATTTGGCACAGAATCTGGCTTAGATGATTTGGTTAAATATTAATATAAGGACTGGACATGTGATGGAACATTTAAATATAGTCCAGGTATGTATTACCAATTATACACAATATATTGATAATAGCATCCTTCATCCATTCACTTACTTCCAGAAAAATGTCAAAGAGATTTCAGATTTTTTTATATCATAAAGAACTTAACAACTGACATTAGATCCTGAATCCTTAAATGACTGACTTTGAAAAAGGATGTATCATCACTTTCTCTAAGTTATACCCAAATACAACTATAACCATGAATCTACACACATTTTAAAGATTTTGTCATTAGTTTTTCATGTTTCATTATGTCATTTTTGCCTTTTTATCTTTTATTGCAAAAATACCCAAAACCCTGCCAGCCGCAACCCTAGACTCAGTGTTGGCCACCATCAACACCACTGTTCACAGCAGCAGTGCCATGTGAAGGGCTCAAGCCATGCCTGAGTTTGGGGCTAAGGAGGGAAGTGAGATGCCCTCCAGACAATGCTCGAAGACTCTGATGTGAAACTTGAAAGGAACACACCCATCTGGCAGGTGAGTGCAAAGCCCTGCAGTCTGTTCTCCTATGACTTGCAAGCCAGGGACATGTCTAAGTGTTCAGATGGCTGAAAGAAGAAAATCAAAACAAAATAACATTTTGGAACACATGAAATATATGAAATTCTAACCTCACAGGTAGTTTTAGTGGAACACAGCATGACCATTTGTTCCTAAGTCCAGGCTGCCTTCATTTAACAGTAGACCTGAGACATTTCAACAGATACCACATGGCTTGAAAGAGGAAGTATTTTTTACCTGGCCTTTTACTGAAAAAGTCTGCTGACCTCTGCCCTAAACAAAAGAATCAGCCATTTTTTATGAAATGTCAAAGCAATTTCATTTCAGCTCAGTATTGGTCTCACAGCTGCATTAGATGTGGGTCTTTATTTTGCCCACCTTTATACAGTGTAAAACTGAACTTAAAGAATTACGTGTTTTAAGAAGTACAAACACCTTATAGGGTGACAACAAACTTAACACAGTCCATTTCCTCAGTCGGAGGTCAAAGGGCAAATAAATTTTGTTACTCACATGCGTGAGGTTGACCCCCCCACACACAAACCTGAAGTCAGTGTTAGAGGACAAACTCCACATCAGGAAAATAAAAAACAAAATAGGAGACACACCAGGTCCTGACCCAAACACCAGTGGTGATGACAACGGGCTCAGCATGCCTTTCCTGCCACTCTCCAGAGGGTCTACTCACCTGGTAGGATCCACCTGGTTCCAGCCATCACGACACCTACCACCTAGCCGCCTGAGGATGGCAGGAGAGATCCCAGCTGACCTGCTTGCCTCCTTCCCTTGGTACCGCTTCTAGGAGCGTCTCAACAGCTGTCCCCCTCGTGGCCTTCCCATGTCTAAAACATGGAGGCAGAGCCAGCGCACCGTAATTTGAGGGAGCAGTGGGAGGTGGAATTAGTTCCCCTGGGGTACTATTCCCCTGGGGCAGGAATTATTCCACTGGGATAAGTGTGTCTGGGAGCCAGTGCCTGGTTTTATAGAGTTCTTGGCAATTTTGCTTCAGCCTTGGTGACTAACCATTTGGCAGATGGATTTTCTGCTACGGGAAGGTGTTAAGGTTAGAAAGTTAGTTCTGGGGTCAAGGTTTAAAAAAAAATAGCATAAAATGGTCTTTGATGGCCCTTTTTTTTATTATTATTATTATTTTTAAAACACTCTAAGTCTCCACATCAATTTAGCTATTCATGGGCAAGAACCGGTTCAGAGAATAGACCTCTAACAGTACAATGTCTTCTGTACCACACACCTTCATGCTCAGAGTATCTGGTGATGGATAGAGAGAGGGTGAGGCCCACAGAGCGCAGGGCTTGTTCCTGGCAGGGGATCACCGGCAGAGTCTGGCCCCCGCTTTTCAGAGGCCTGTTAGCAGCCGAGGTGTCTATGGCCCTGATGCCAGAGGAGTTATCTATTTTCAGGATAAGCAGAGGCTGGCTGGCTGCTGGAGACTGAGCTGGGGACCTTCGACCAGTGCCCACCTGTATTCAGAAGAGCATCATGTGTGGCACAGATTCGTGCTCATTTCAGCTGCTCAGGGCTCTCCAGAGCTGGATGCAGACAGCAGGTCTGATGGCGGCAGGGTACTGCTCATTAGAGACATCTGAGTGATGCATGCACCCTCAGATGTTCTGACTCCGGGCCTGGGGTCAGTGTGTGTTGTGTGCATGTCTGTCTGTCTTTTCTGAGTCCCAGGCATGAGCCCGGTGCGTGGCCATGGTGAGAACCACGTACTCTACCTTAGGGGACACACTCTTTGAGGGCTTCCATGAGAAGCTATGGTATTTGGGTGCAGCCTGCCCACCTGCACTTGCCCATGCCCAGGGCACACGTACTAAAGTGCTTCAGTCATGTCCAACTCTATGCAACCCCATGGACTGTGGCCCACCAGGCTCCTCTGTCCATGGGATTCTCCAGGCAAGAATACTGGAGTGGCTGGCCATGCCCTCCTCCAGGGGATCCTCCCAATTAAGGGATCAAACCCGTCTCTCCCAAGTCTCCTGCACTGGCAGGCAGGTTCTTTACCACTAGCGCCACCTGGGAAGCCCACGCCCAGGGCACAGGCTGCCTCTCCTCAAGTGTTCCTCCAAGTTCCACGGGGATGTGATCCAGCGGCTGCTGCCTCTAGGCATGGACTCAATAACTGTCCTTGCTGACACACTTTCATGTCTGCTGTGTTCTCCCTTACCTCCCTGGTATTATGCACAAGAAAGGGCGGCATGGGGCTGAGACCCCATGGAATGGGCATGAGCTCTGAGCTCATCCATCACTTGATGCACAGGAAAGGTCAAGAGCAATTCTTGGTATGAGAGACCTTGAGAGAACAGGCCCACTTCTCAGTTTGGAGGTTAGTAAGTACAAACCAACTAAGACAAACAGAGACTAGGAATATAATTTACCAAACTGAATAAAGAAAAGAACTGAAAGACCCTTATGACCATTACTTTCTAGAAATGCTACTTTCCATGTCTTTTTGGAACGACACAAGGCTGGGCACCCCTAGGTGTCACAAAATCCATGCTCACTGGGAATCTCAGACCTAATGTGGAAATGGGGTCTCCATAGACATCATCAAGGTAAAAAGATCTTGAGGTGAGATGACCCTGGATTAGGATGGGTCCTCATAGGAGGGAGGCCAGGGAGATCTGAGACACAGAAAAAGATCTTGAGGTGAGATGACCTTGGATTTGGATGGGTCCTCATAAGAGAGAGGCCAGGGAGATCTGAGACAGAAGCGTGGGGAGATGGCCACAAGACAGTGGAGGCAGAGATCCGGGTGATGTGGCCACAAGCCCGGGGACACCTGGAGGCACTGGTGACTTGAAATGGCACAAATGATCCTCTCCTACAGACACTAGGATCGCAGACCGCCCACACCTCAATCCTGAATTTGTGCCCTCCAAACGAGCATTCCTCCTGCTGTAAGCCTCCTGTTTGTGGTACTTCATTAGGGCAGCCCCAGAAAACGAACACTGTATCTGTGACTTCCTTCCTGAAACCATCCAGGACTCAGCACGCACGGGGAGTGGGGCAGCAGGGCCGCACAGGGCTTGCAGGCAGCATCCCCGGAAGGCTGCAGCAACGGCTTCAAAGTAACATCCGTACAAGGCCTAAGGGAGCTTCTTGGGCAACGCTCCTTGGGCTGTTATTTCAAAGCAGCCTGGACGTGGCCTGTTGTGAGCACGGGAGGATGTCACCCACTTCTCTACTTTCCCCTCATCTTCCCATGAGGGGCTCCCAGGCACACACTGTGCTGTGCTGTGCTGAGTCACTCAGTCGTGTCCGACTCTTTGAGACCCCATGGTCTGTAGCCCGCCAGGCTCCTCTGTCCACGGGGATTCTCCAGGCAAGAACACTGGGGCGGGTTGCCATGCCCTCCTCCAGGGGATCTTCTCAACCGAGGGACTGAATCCAGGTCTCCCACACTGCAGGTGGCTTCTTTACTGTGTGAGCCCCCGGGAACACACTAAGACACCCCAAACCGAGCAAAAAGGCATCAATGGATAGCTTCAAACAACATTCTAAAACTAGCATTTCTGTCTCTGGATAGCAACAGGGCAGAAAAGCAAAAACTAACACCATTTAAAATCGGTGCAGTCTGTACTGTTTTCACGCGTGACTGAAAACTGAGCAGTAGAGGGGTATCTCAGGTGTCTACAGGATGGCCTCACTGTGTGCCCGGTGTACGCTCAGCTTCTGTTAGAGCTTACAGTGTGACCCAAAGAGACTGCCTGTCCATCAGAGAAACACGGGACCACGCGAAGGCAACGGGGTCTGTGCGGAGCAGGCCATGCAGGAGAGGCAGGCTCAGGACTGAATGTGGTTCTGGAGGAGAGATTTTCCTGACAAAGGATATGCCTGCAGTGCTCAAACAGGCAGAGGGTTAGAAATGAGTAGATTTCTCTCATAGAGACATAAATCATCCTTTTTATGGTTATCAAGAACAGAGACAGGATGAAAATACAGCTAGCTGTGCACTGGAGACCCGGACTGAGGCCATGCAAAGTGGCCCCTGAGGCCGGGGTCCAGCTCACCCTCAGAATGAAGACAGCTTGCTGCCGTGGCCACCTCATAGGGCTCAGCCTGTGTTTAAATGTGTGTGTGCTCCTGACTCCCCAGGCAGCCTGAGAGGGCCGTGCGGGTAGGCAGCTCACTGCATCTGCAGGCAGAACTCCTCCCATGCACTTTCGGCTCCCTACAAGGGAATCCCTTGGTGGCAGCTACGATCACCCCAAGCAGCTTTCTCGGCAGCCCTTCATCCTGAGGCAGCTGTGCACCTCCCGGGACAGGGCACTTCGAATGACTTCCCGGGGTCTTCATCTCAAAGGAAGCATGCAGGATCTGAGAAAACGTACTCAGAAGTGACTCTCATCAAGCAGTCATCTCTGTGCTTCCTGCTCTCCTAAGTCAGTTTCTTCATTCGCCGATTATGCTTGTCGATGGTTAAGGTGGCCCGGTCCACAGCCGCAGTGATGCCATCCAAGGCCTCATCCTGTCTCTCCAGCTCTGTCTCGGTGTCTAACGCGAGACCTTTGAGCTTCCTCAGGATCTGCAAGGGAAGCACAAATGATAGGAGAGGCTGTCTTTTCTCATGCTCTCAAAAACAGATGATATATCTTTCCATTACTTTCATAATGCTTCAGAAAATTTGTAAGCTAACGGGGATAACGAATACTCTGAGCACAGAGCCAGAGCCTCTAGCTCTGACCCTGACTTTGGGTCTCAGCTCTGCCATTTTCTGGCACTGACCTTCAGCGAGGTAGAGCTGTCAGGAGATGATGCATCTGCTGTTTGGCCCTGCTCCAGGCCATAAACAAGGAGACTGACCACACAGCCCCAGGAGATACATCCCTGAGGCACTGCTGTTTCCAACCCATGATTTTTTCGCTGACTGCCTTGCTGAGATTGTTACCACATCCACGTGGAATTCCTGCAAACAGTAGTGGCACAGGGCAGAACCAGCAATCTGGAGGCTACAACTCAGATCTGAGTTCCAGCTCTCACCTAATCACTGTTTCATTTACCTTTCTGCATCCAAGTGCCTAACTGCAGACTGAAGTTGGAAAAACAAAGTTTAAAAAGAAAGGCAACCCCTTTTCTATGTCTGTGTGCTTGATATATTTCACACACAAATATAAAAGACAGAACAAAACAGCATATATAACCAGAGGTGATAAAGCAGTTGGCCCTGCTCCAGGCCATAAACAAGGAGACTGACCACACAGCCCCAGGAGATACATCCCTGAGGCACTGCTGTTTCCAACCCATGATTTTTTCGCTGACTGCCTTGCTGAGATTGTTACCACATCCACGTGGAATTCCTGCAAACAGTGGTGGCACGGGGCAGAACCAGCAATCTGGAGGCTACAACTCAGATCTGAGTTCCAGCTCTCACCTAATCACTGTTTCATTTACCTTTATGCATCCAAGTGCCTAACTGCAGACTGAAGTTGGAAAAACAAAGTTTAAAAAGAAAGGCAACCCCTTTTCTATGTCTGTGTGCTTGATATATTTCACACACAAATATAAAAGACAGAACGAAACAGCATATATAACCAGAGGTGATAAAGCAGGTACACACCATAACCCCCGGGCCTGCTCAGAAACGCTGGGAGACGGCCCTGTGAGCACAGGCCCTGGCATCCTCTAGGGAGGCAAAAGAGGCGCCACGAGAGCAGACACACGGAGGACACACAGAAACGCCATGAGCGCGCAGTGATGCCACAGGCAAGGGCGCTGCCCACAGTGCGCAGGGCTGCTCCGGCTCCCAGACCGAGGGCGTTGACCAGGCTGGACAGCAGCTCCTTGCCCCCATTTCTGGGACTCATGCCACACTTTATATAGCTTTATACACTAGTTGAGAGCAACACTGTATCACAACTCTTATTTGAGACTAGCTGCACCGTGAAATGTACTTCAATTATATACCTACTGAACCAGGATTTAAAAATGTAATGTCTTTGACAACAAAAAGAAATGATTTTGAGAGAAATCTTAATGACCAACTACTTGGAATAAATATTAATACTGTTCCTCTTTTAGAGAAAGGTTCAGGAAAAGGAAGGAACTGCACAATCTGAATTAAGATGAGACCTTGGTGCCCAGTTTACTAACTCCCAATGGATCAACCTGCCTATGGATCCATTCAAAGTACTTTATAACAGGAGGATGGATTTGACGATGAACAGCCCGGGTGAGCACCAAAGGAGGAACACGAATGCAATCCTACTGATAACATATCACAGTCCAGACTGAAATCCACTCCCCCAACAGGTCCCACCCAGACACGGCGGGCAAGAAAGCTCTGGGTTCCATAGGTGGCCTGGGATAATCCTGAGTGGTGCTACTGCCTGGGACAGGAGGCCACACCTCAAGGAGAGTAAACTGCACCCACGTGGTGTCTCAGAAGGCATAGTAGTACCTGTGAGGTCAAACCAATCAAAAAGGAATGCCTGACCACCTGGCCCACCACCCACTGCCTGGGAGAACTCCTCCGTCTGATTAACAAGAAACAGAATAGGCAGGGAGATGGTCAGGAGGAGAATAAGATCAACTCCTTCCCTAAGAACGGTGGGGCTCAAATGAGATCACAAATGTGAACAAGCTGTGAAAACTATAAAGCGCTATGTAAGGTGCCGCCGCCAAGTCTTAGAACGCTCAGACTGAAGGAGCCCAGCAACACACCCCCGCTTTTGGAGGGGAATGTGGAGATGAGGCCCGCTGACATCATCCGCAGTTATACGCAAGTTATGACAGAGGCAGGATTGACCCCATCTCTCTTCAAACAAAGCATCATCCCAGGGATCTTCGTCATGAGAAAGAAGAATAAATCCTGATCCAAGTTAGCAGTCTCAGACACTACCTTTTCGCGCCCTCTGGGAGCTGGTGGAAACTCCATCAGTTGAGTCACTTGAAAAACTGGACAGAGCTCTGGAAAGTATACTGTGGGGTCAGTCAGCTCTGGAGGGGATGGGCTAGATGACCTAATACAGGAGGTCTTTTCCATCTCTCATTTCTATGATCTCATATGGCTGAGGCCCAGACAGCATAATAAAAAAGTTGCCACTCACCACTAAGTTAGGCAGGTCCTTCCATGCTGTTCTCTCTGGTCACCTGCTCCTTCCTCATTGCCTCCACTTCAGTGCGACAATAAGGCCATTCTGCCAGAAACCTGCACAGAACGTCCCCTCTGTTACAGACCTGCATCCTATCTGACGCCTTTGAGGAGGTCTCTCTCCTACACTGAGCCATTAGGCCACACAGACCCTGTGACTTTTGCAACCTCTACATCCTTGTCAATCACACCAAAATGTGGCCTAGTTTATTTTCAACTGAACTGTTTTTCAGGACTACTGTGTTCTAAACTGTAAACAACCACTGTCTGCACATGCACTGATGGCAGGAGATGGGCTTTCAGCAAGGGAGCCAAACGTTCCCCTCAGTGCAGATAGTCAACTGATTCCTTCTGCTCTGATATCAACAGTGCCCACGGAAACCAAGACACAGAACTTAGAGGAGATGCTAAAAGTCCTCCAAAACCCAAATTCAAAATTAGTGCCTGTTAGACAAGCACTGCTGATGATATTGCTTTCTCATCCCAACATGCAAACACTCAGAGGAAGGTAAAACTGGGGATTAGAGTGTGTGTGTATATATGTGTGTGAGCCCCGCTGGGTCTCACTCTGTGCAGTCCTTTGGACTCTAGCCCGCCAGGCTCCTCTGTCCAGGGGAATCTCCAGGCAAGAATACTGGAGTGGGCGACCATTCCTCCTCCAGGGGGTCTTCCCGGCTGAGAGACTGAACCAGCACCGCAGGCAGATTCTTTACTGCAGAGCCACTGGGGAAGCCACATAGATACATGACCTCTATGTACGTTTGTGTGTGTATATAAATGGCTTTGTCTTCTGTGTTCTCATTCCCCAGCTATCTGAAATAAGAACGGAATTTAGGGGACCCCTGCAACGTGCCCTAACTATTCTCTGTTACTCAATCTAAGTCTGTTTCACAGATGAAGCTGAGATGGGTGGGTGACTTGCTCGACTTCCTGGGGTCTTGCTCCTACTGTGGCCCTGACAACCGCTGCGTGGACAAGGTGTCACGGCCATGACTCAGAGATGGTACCACTGTGACACTGAAAGGATGGCAACGGGGCTCTCGCCAGGGACAGGCGGTCAATTCACATATCCTAGAACCTGTGCCAGCTCTTAGAGCCCCGAGTGACTATGGAAAGATAGCCAATTAGGGAGAGCCATACTCGAAATTTCAGGTTTTTTAATAAAAAGTAAATAATATAATTAATTTAATAATATATTTTATTTAAATCAAATAACCCAAAACATTATCATTTAAACATGTGAGTGGGTGCTCAGCTGTCTCCAACTCTGCAATCCCAAGGACTGCAGCCAACCAGACTTTACTGTCCATGGAATTTTCATGGCAAGAATACTGGAGTGGATTACCATTTCCTTCTCCAGGGGATCTCCCCAACCCAGAGATCGAACCCGTGTCCTTGGCGTCTCTTGCAATTGGCAGGTGGATTCTTTACCACTAGCACCACCTGAGAAGCCCCCCATTTAAACATGAAGTCAATAAACATTAATGAGAGACTTTATATTCTTTTTTCATATGAAGTTCTCACAAGCTACTTGTGAGAACTTGGACCAGCTGCTTTTTAAGTGCTCAGTACCCACACGTGGCCAGTGGTTACTGTGCCAGGTAGCGCAGGGCCATATCGCCACACGACAGCACTCTCACCGAGGACCACTTTGTGTGGTGGATCCTGCGTGTCCTACACTTCCATGGCCATCTTTCTCTAGAGGACGAGTCAATTGCCTCTTTTCCAAAATGAAACAGTGGCAAAAGCAAGAACACCTATATTCTTGAGTCTCTGCTTCATGAACACAGTAGTAAAAGGCACATACAGCTTACTTTGTGAACAGGAGGGACAGCTGACATGCCTACAAAGGCTGAGCATTTTACTGAGTGTATGAGTCCAAACAAAGGCTGGTTCCTGTTGAATTTCATTTGGAAAAGGTTTCACTGAGATGGTCTTAAAAGTAGCACTCGTTCTATGCAGCCAGTTGAGACCCTTGGTTGGTCTGTCAAAACTGCACTCGAAATTAATTAATACTGCAAAAACACAAGTGAGATCTTTATAGCTACTAAGTCTGCAAAGAAAATTACTGAGTAAACCTTCAAACTACTAGCACCTCTGGAATACTGGTTCAGTGTCTTTTTCCTTTAAGAAAGGGATTGAAGTAATTAAATGGCATCGTGTGCATTCCATATAACATGGGATGGAAAGAATGGAGAATATGAAGTCTGGCCAAACCTTAAAAACAGTTGTTACTTCTGTGGCCCAGGATGACAAGCTGTCTAGTCATCAATGCATGATGTTGCCAGCCTCTAGAATATCAACGGGGCTCTCAGACGAACCTTCACTGGGCTCTGACTCAAAGACCAGGGTCAAAATGGACTCATCCCCAGGTCTCTGCTCCACTAATAAATAAACCCAGCAGCCAGCCATCATCCAGCTACATTTGTACCTAC